CACACACACACACACACACACACACACACACACACACACACACACACACACACACACACACACACACACACACACACACACACACACACACACACACACACACACACACACACACACACCCTGAGAGCACGCGGCTTTGCGAGCGTGTGGCGTTTGAGGGATGAGACCATGGGAACGTTGAGCTCGAACGAGGCCATGACGGGGCGGTGGTCACTGGACGTCACGTCGCCGTTGCTATTGGCGGTGGTGGTGACGAAACGAGGTTGATGTGATACAGGGCAGAGAAACACACTTGGTTTCGCAAACATGGTTGACAAAAGACAGGCAGGCACACAGACACATGCACACACACGCACAGACATAGACACAGACAGACAGACAGACACACACACACACACACACAGAGGCAGACAGACACACAGACACACAGACACAGACACACACACACACATACGCACACACGCACAGGCAGGCAGCAGACACACACACACACACACACACACTACCACGTACTATGTGTAGTCTGTGCAAGTGATGGTGGCACCCTCGTTTGCGCGGTAAAGGATGCGATCACAGTATGACGGCACGCGCTTGGACACGTACACGTCCCTGCAAAGGAGGTGTGGCAGGTCGTGTGAGGAGCGAGTGTGGTGCGTGCGTTGACACGTGAGGCGATGAAGACACACATCACAAGGGTGTGTGTGTGTGTGTGGTGGTGTGGTAGGAAGCGAACAATGGCAAGGAAGGCGGCGGCCACCGCTGCCAGTATTCAAAATGATTCATGGCACACACACACACACACACACACACACACACACACACACACACACACACAACCATACAACCATACACACATAAAACACACACAAACATACAAAAAAAAAAACAAACAAAGAAATAAAGAAACAAACAAACAAAAGCACCGCTCCTGCCCTGACTTTGCTGCGCGCGAGGAGGGGTCGCGGGCGAATTTGAATGTGGGCGGAAACCGAATCTCCTCCTCCTCAAAACCAGCGAGAACCAGCCCTGACGTGACAGAAACAAGACAGGACAAAGCCGGGGGGGGGGGGTGTTGAAAGTGTTTGAACGTTCGTGTTAGTTCGTGCAGATGGCGACAGGTTAGGGCATGAAAGGGAAGGCGTACCAAACATGCAGTAGAAAACAAAACGCTAAGGACACACTACACTCCACTACACTACACACACACACACACACACACACACACACACACACACACACACACACACACACACACACACACACACACACACACACACACACACACACACACACACACACACCCTGACCGAGTTTCTGCTGCTTCTTCAGCTGATCAAAGTCCATGAGTCCCTCCCAGTTCTGGCGGTCAATCTCTTTGCACACAATGTCGTGCATCTCTTTTCGAAGGTCCAGACTGAAGTTGAGAATGCATCGCAGTGAGTATGGTGATGATCAGGCGAGTGTGCACGCTTGTGTGTTGGCAGAGTAAAAGCAAGAGAAGAAAGCGCAGACTGCACGTCGCCACACACACACACACACACACACACACACACACACACACACACACACACATCCTCCCCGCATTCCCTGCTGCTGCGTTGTGCTCACTCGTCAAGCGGCTGCAGTCTGTAGTTGAGGTCTCCAAACCAGAACACGGCATCGTGGCGGTTCTCAACCTACAGCGATGGTGGTGATGAGGTGGACGGTGGATGAGTTGAATGATGGCGGTGTGGTTGGTGGGTGCAGAGAGCCAACACGCTGAAGTGTTTTCAGTTGACACAGATAACGTCATCACCATCATCCTCATTATCATCATGATCATCATCATGGTACCTCACCTCGACCACAAACGTCAGGTCACCGCTCTCTTCCAGTTTGCGCTTCCTCTCGCCAAAGAGGTCGTCCGTGCGGTGGAGATAGCGCGAAATTTGATCGTAGTCCTCGTTGCGCCGCGGCAGCTTATCCGTGCGTGTGTGTACGAGTACGAGAGGGTGTGTGAGTGCAGTAGTGCGCAGTCATGTGAGATGAGCGTGAAACTGTTCACGCTCCAGTTCGCAGGAACGACTTCCACACACACACACACACACACACACACACACACACACACACACACACACACACACACAC